TGGGCACAGTATTGATTTGAGACTTCCACACGTTTGATCCTGTCGCAGTTATTTCAGTGATTATGTCAGCACATACAGGCATAGTCCGAGGTTCACATATTTTGAATTCTGCTGCATTAGTATCATAGAAATCACAGAAAAGTAGAGTTGGAAGGAGCCTCCAGAGGTCTAGCCCAAACCCTTTCTTGAGGCAGGATCATCTCTATCCAAATCATCCTATACAAATCCATTGTCTTCCCGATTAGCAAAACTATACAGTCAGCCCAGACACAACCATAAGGCATATATATCCTAACCTGCCAGAGATAAAGCAGGAAGACCATGGCGGCTAAAATCCAGCTGCTGCAAAGGTTGCTAAATACACTTAAGGGACATGTCCAGATGAGTGCACACATGCAGTTTATGGGGCTGCAGACCTATCTGCAGTACCACAAACCACACACACTGCACATGCAGGCATTTGCCACACTGCTAATTCTCAGTGCAGTGGGGTTTTTTGACAGCAGGAAATCCCAGTATAAAAAAAATACCTATGCCTGAAAGAAGTGCACTGAGCAACCCTTGCAAAGCCAGCAGGCCAAGGCACTTTAGGGAGCCCACCCCTGCCCCAGCCCTGGTACAATCTGTGGGCAAGGCAAGAGCCCCCAAGGGGACACCTGCCTGCCTGTACAGAAATGCCAGGAGCTTGGGGAATAAGCAGGGGGAGCTCGTCCTCCTGCTTAACACAAATAATTATGACATCATAGGGATAACAGAGACCTAGTGGGACTCCACCCATGACTGGACCATGGGTATAGATGGCTATACCCTGTACAGGAGAGATCGAGTAGATAAAAGGGGCAGGGGTGTAGCTCTCTATATTAAGGAAAGCTACATGTCCATGCAAGCTTGGTGACCAGGGTGGATGACTGGAGACCCTCTGGGTTAAAATCCATGGGGAACATGGCACAGGGGACACAACAGTGGGAGTCTACCACAGACCTGAGGCAGAGGCTGGAGTGAAATTCCCAGATAATCTGACTTCGCACCTAGTGCTTTAGGCATACCAATTTCCTTCCTCTGGGAGGAAGGAAACCATGTATCCAAAGAATCGTATAGTTCATAATATTTTTACAAAAAGACCTTAATGTTTTTCTGAGAAGATCGTCACACAAGGGTAAGGTGTCTACAGAAGATAATCTGTCTGGTGTAAACCTGCTATGTGGTATCTGTACACAGCTTTTTGGTATATCTCCTGATTCTTCACTGGAAGTCACCACTCCTGCTCAGGAATTTCTTGGACAGCAAATATTGGGACTTCCCAATCATATTGAGGTTTTTCCTGAGGAAACAGACCTTAGAACTCTGCAAAAAGAGACAACTCATTCCTGGGGAACATGTCTCTCAGAGTTCCTTCACCAGAAATTCGATCATGTTTTAAATAGTGAAGTCTAAGATAATATGTCCATTCTTTTTTGAAATCCCTTATGTTATGGCAACCTAGATGATTGTCTGCTTTGCTTTTGTCTAACTGAATTTGCTATTACTCACAAACTAGCACTCTGCCTAAATATATTTTAACTCCCAGCGTGACTACTGTATTATGTCAGGAAGACTAAATACAACTACCAGAGAGCACAAAGAAGGATAAGGTTAGGCTCTATTGCTATGATAGGCTCCCATTATTTCAGTGATATTATCCAGATCCTGACTGCTTATTACTAGGGTAAAGTCATTTAAGAAATATGTCCCCAGATTTGATGCATTTGTTTAATGTATTTCACATTGAAATGGGATTTCAGAATAACCAATTATCCTAATCCAAAGGGAGCAGGTAAAAAGTGAAGATGACTCAGAAAGAAGTACATAATGAGGATGTATTAAACAACTCTAAATATATTAGGCAAGCTTTTCAACTCATGTAAGTTGCCCTAGGTCCATTTGAATCAATGTAACTATCCTAATTTACATCAGCAAATGATCAGCAGTGAATGAGATGGAAAGAAAGATGTGGGAGAAGTTGTATGTCAGAACTAGGGTTCTTAGCTAAGTGGAAAAATGCTAAGTGTAAGTGCTCAAAAATTCATAAAATGTCTGTTTCCAAATCAAAAGGATCTTTTGCAGCTATTACTGCTGGCAAAATATATCAATTGACACCTGGGTGGATTTTGTCACTTTAACCACATACATTATTGCTTACTTGCCCTTATCATCCACCACAGTGTGAAATAGCATTTCATCAAAGTTTCATAATGACAGCCATAAAAGTATGTTAAAAAAGAAATGTCTTTCCACTATGTGTGATTTTAACTAAATAGATGTGTGCGCTCATTAAGTAGTCTACCGTAAATGTCTAGGAAAGTAGTGTTGTCTCCGCTATAGTCTGTTACGTGAAGATTTCAGCAGAGATATTTAACATTTTGCAAGCATAATAGACTTAATATAAGTTGGAGTAGGCTTGGTGCTCATAGTATAAAGCAATCTTTTGAAAAGTAATTGCTTGTCTCAGTATCCAAGCAAATTTAATTAGTGGAAGAGTTTTATTAAACATTTTTTTTTCCATGTGATGAATTTTATTAGCATGTTAATCCTTAGGAAAATGTAATGCTTCTCAAAAGTCTGGATGGGTACCTGAGGAAACATTAGTCCTCTCTTTATGAACGAAGTCCACCTAGCTAGGTCTACACAAGATGCTGACTGTGCAGTTGTTACTGCATGGTCATTTAGTACTTGCATACACAAGTACTAAATGACTGCACAGTAACCAGTATTACTGAGCATCACCAAACGGCTTTTTGATGATGCTGACTGAGCAGTAGCTTGTAACTGCTATGTAGTAATGTCATGTCTCACTTTGTGCCACGTGATACTACTGCACAGTAGTAATGAGCTACTGCACAGCCAGCATCTCGTGTAGACACAGCCCCTGAATACATAGACGCACATTGGGCATTCACACACACTACATGTTCATTAATGCACTTTTGCTCCTGCACATTAAATTTAGTACTTCTAATATGAGGTACAGTACTAAATAAATGCTCATTAGACTGCCCTAATGCACAGTAGTAAAAGCAAACCCTTTTTTAGTGATGCTTAATGTGCAGTAGCCTATTTTCACTGCACATTAGTGTATCAGCATGATTTCTGACATGACACTTTATCTAATGCACAGTAAAATAGGCTACTGCACATTAAAGCACACGTGTTGGTGCACCCACTCAAACATAAGGAAAAGAGCTATGTGGTCTCATCAAATAAAACGGTGAGGATCTGAGATGGCTAGGACTGTTTCAGAAACTGCAATGACTTCAATTCAGCTTGCTATCAACAAATGTTTCTAAAATACAAAAGTACAGCTGGCCCCATTAGTTAAGTGCAAATCCTAACTAAAATATAAATAATAAATAAACAACCTCAACCATCACCACACACAATGCTTAATGGCTGCTTGAAGGTGTTATATAATGTTTTGGATGGCTTCATCATTCTCTACTCTACTTTTCAGAGCAGTAGTTGGGTTATTAATTTTGGTATTCTTACAATATTTTCACAGCAAGTTCTTACTGAATAACTAGTTCCATTTGTGTCACGAAGCAAAGGATCCTGAATGTTATAAAACACCACTGGAGAGTTAAACACAAATGGATATACAAACAGGATTTAAAGGACTATATTTGGGAGAAAGGAGCCACACTTTAATCTTAGAGCAGCTAAAACTGAAAGTTCAAATCTTACATTTTTATTTCAAAACCAAAAGAAAATGAAAGTCCCTAGTGTTGATTGAAGGGTCTTACTCCCCAGTCCCAGGATTTAATTCCACCTGTGTTTTTATTTTAAAATGAGTACTTTTTAAAATTTGATTTCTCGACATGTAATAAATATTATACTATAGATAGTTGGGGAATAAAGAAAGGTCATCAATGAAGGGAATGCATGGAGATTTTTCTTGTTTTGGTCACTGCTTCAGATTTGCCCAAGTGGGTAGTAACTGAAAGTTATTACCATCTGATGGCTATTCATTGGCTTGTGTAAGAAGAAGTGCTGGCCTGAATCCTCTAGGAATTGAATAAGTGCTTACAGTACAGCTGATGATAATTAGCATCACTGTTGGCAACCTCAATAAAACAGAGTAGGGACTGAATAGAGATGAAAAATTATTTTACCTTCTTCTTCTTAAAAGTTGTTTTCCTCATGCCAGTGGAGGAGCAATGAGGGGAGGCTTATATTAATGCTCCACACTAAACTTTCCTTTGCAGAAATCAAAGACTTCAGCCACCAGGTCTGTTAATCTGGAAATTCATATAAACATTATAATTTAAAATAAATTTCAAAGTCTAATTTAGAAAAGTACACCAAATGAAATCAGCTTTTCAACAGAACTACAGCCACGTTTGTAAATGAATGCAAGATATTTTTAGACATTGATAGTATTGTAGCAAAACTGTGGCATGTTACAACATCTCTGAAATAATTCTGCCATACCAGCCTTTGTTGTACAATAAGTACAAACATGGTAATATTCGTCCATGGGGTGAAAGTAAGTGCAAAGTTTTCCATACAACTCAAGCCCCTCCTGGCATACTTATATATCCCATCCATGTTGCAGGGAAAGTCTTTGTACAGGCTGATAAAAAAGCTGATAAAAAAGTTTCCATGGTGTGAACCAAGGGAAAAAATAACGAGTTCTGTGATTATGCAGATCTTTTGACCACACCACCTCACAAGACATAGACATACATTTATTCAGACATGCAAGTGTTTGCAGAATCAGAATTTAAGGAACTGATCCTCCAGTTTTTGTGTATGCAAAATTTGCAGTGGAGTTACTGAAATTCAATGGAAACCATCATCTTCCTAGAAATTTTGACTGTAGGAAGACCCCTGGTGTCCAAGCCTCTTCATACAAATTATACAATGCAACTTAAGTACTTCATTATATTTTCTATATCTTAAAAAAATATTTACAGATGTTATGTTATAATTAGTTAATCATTTACATTTTCTATTTCTTGTTTTAGGTTCTATCCTTAGGAGCAGATGTCCTACCAGAATACAAACTCCAAACACCTCGCATCAACAAGTTCACTATATTGCACTACAGTCCTTTCAAAGCAGTCTGGGACTGGCTCATTTTGTTGCTGGTAATATATACCGCCATATTCACCCCTTACTCTGCAGCTTTCCTTCTGAATGACAGTGAGGAACAGAAGAGACAGGAGTGTGGATATTCTTGCAGCCCACTGAATGTGGTAGACTTAATTGTAGATATTATGTTTATCATTGACATTTTAATAAACTTCAGAACAACATATGTAAACCAGAATGAAGAAGTGGTAAGTGATCCAGCAAGAATAGCAATTCACTACTTCAAAGGCTGGTTCCTAATTGACATGGTTGCTGCAATACCTTTTGACCTGCTGATTTTTGGATCTGGCTCTGATGAGGTAAGCCAAAGTAAATAAACAGTGTTTTCTCCACAACTGTTTACTATGATGTGATAATCTACTGTTCCATAATTTTCCCTTACAAAGTATTTTGTTAATAATCTCCCAGGGAAAATAATAGAAGACTAAACACTTAGGACTTATAAATTAAACTGGCCAAATATTACTAAAATACAATGTGCGACAGAAGTTTTCCTTGGGAGGAAAACAAGCTGCATGATCCAGTCAGGTATTTTCCATCTCAAGATTGTATAAATGCAATCTTTTTATAAATGTCTTTGGAAGTAGGTACAAAGTACCATAGTGTAAATCGGGGGTAGCCAATCTGTGGCATACTTGCCACAAGTTGCACAGACAACCTCTGTGCATGGCATGCAACAGAGCAGGGAGGGGACAGGCAGCATAGTAGGAGATAGGGCAGGAAGCAGCACAGCAGTTCAGGCAGGGTGCACAGGGCAGGAAACAGCAAGCACAGCAGCAGATGGGGTGGGGAGTGTATCAGAGTGGTGCTTGGGGAAAAAGCCAGCCAAAAAGTTTGGCCCCCACTAATGCAAATCCTACTCTCTTCCATTTGGTGTAAGTTAGACTTGCTAAAGTGATGTCAAGTCAGCTATGCTGCTTTATATCAGCTAAAGAGCTGAGTCAGGTTTTTCAACAAAGACAGAAACTTCTAAAATAATTTAAGAAAAATAAACCCAAAAAAATTTGGAATTTAACCTTGCCAAATTGACAATTCTGATGACTAATGTCCTCAACCTACCCAAAGAACAAGTTAACAATGTGTGTATCACATGCATTTGAAAACTGCCCAAAGGTATATAAAACACACACCATTTTGTGGATGTCTGACCCAGTTCTGCCTCCTTCCAAGGAGTTTTTATTTAATTTAAGAAAGGCTAAAGTTGTAATGTAGTTTGTGATGAAACTTGAACTGACAAGTAGAAAATGCTTTTTTGTGGGAAGTAGAAGACAGCAGTTAAAAAAGCAACAAATCTTGCAAAATAGTATGTTACATAGGCTTCACAAAGGATTCAATAAATCTACTTTTTCATAATGCAATTTTGCACATTTTGACATAGGGAAAATTGAAAGTTTTATGGACAATGTTAATTAAGTTAAGGGAGAAGTGAAGGATGAAAAATATACATTCATCATCAATAATTATAGCATGAAACTTATTGATCTGACTATATACCTTCAGTGTCATTATATGGAGACTGTTATTCATCCATACACAAAAGGCAAAAATGTGCTGTAGGTCCGAAAAAGCTCCTTTAATATACAAGAAAAGCCACAATGGGAAGTAACCAAAGGAAATTCTCCATGAGAGAACACAATTTGTGTCTCTCTCCTGGTACTCTAATAAATTCTGAGTTTGGCCAGCATAGCTATGTTCCCAGAGCCAGTTTTTAGAAACGTAAATAAACAAGTATTTAAGAACCTGCAGGAATCAGATGGCATCACTGTCATAACGATATGCACTTCTAAGACGGAGTGATTCTTTTAAAGTCCTACAAAATTGCAGAAGTAAACAAATGTTGCCTGTCAGTTTTCTTACTCCTATTTCATAAGTTGTTCATTAGGAATCTGTTTTTTTCCCCCCGTTTCCTCCTTTTTTGTGACCAGGATGTTGTGGTGATGTGTAAAATATAAAATAAGAGAAAGGGAAACGGGGTCCCAATGGACCCACTCTAATGTCTCACTGAAGTCAGTAGAACGATCCCGATTGATTTCAGTGCAAGTAGACACTTACAATAGGGAAAATGTGAACCCTGGAGATGTGCACAGGGAATATAATTAGTAGATTTTTTTGGGAAAGAATGCAATCAAGCGAGATGACTATTTAAAGGAGTAAACAAAATGTGAATTGTCTGTCCCATTACTGCCAAAGAGCTTGTCTGTGAAATAGGAAAAACCCAAAAAGGCAGAGACAGAGCAGCAGCATTATCTGCTCACCTTCTACATTCATCACATTTAGCTGGAGTCAGTCTCCTGTATTTCTTCTAGGCTTGCACTGTCTATAAGTAGCACCTGGAAAGAAGAGGAGGCAAAAAGGGTAGCACTGATAGCAGAGCTATTTTATGGCAGTGGCACTGCTAGCAACCTGGACCAATTTTCTCCATATAGTGTATGGAGGTGAAAAGAGCGAAGCTGCAGAAGAGGCTGCAGAGAGTCCATGAAGAGAGAAAAAAGTGACTGTATAGATGTTTCCATCTCTGCTCCTCCACCTGTTTCCTTCTGAAAATTATCTAGTGACTCCTCTATTCTGCAGAAAAAGTACTTAAGAGTCAGGAGATGTAGAGAAGCAAGGAAGGAATGGATGTAAATGCCTGATACAAAGCCCCTTAAAGTCAAAGGAGAGGCTCCCAAAGCTATTTGAATTTGGCCCTAAGTGTTACACTTCTCCCTTATTTATAAGTCTACTACAGGAAACATTGCAGGTTGTTAGATACAGCTGTGATGGGCACTATATAAGCATCCAAAACAGATAGAATAGCAGCAGGCAAAAGGACTAAAGAAACTGAGTACCTGCCTAACAAAAACTGCAACAGTAAATATTGGGATTTACTTCTTATGGCAGACATAATGAAATTAGTTACCTGTTTATTTCAACTATCCCTTCTAGTATTTTGACCTTTTTTAGTAAAATCTAGTCAGATTTGTCTGAGAAACAACTAAACTCAGTACTACTTAGCCAGTCTAGCATATCTTTTCAATAAACTCCCATTCATAACGCTGACTAGACCAGTAGTTTTGCTGGGTAAAAGTCCAAGCATCCAAGTGTTTACAGTAGTTTTGTTCTTTGCTTTTATGAGTATACTTATACAGTGATCTCTTTCTAATAGCTCAGTGCAAGATACATTTTAAATGGACAGTGCTTCATTTTAATGGTTTAATAGACATTTTCAGTCATGGTGGTGCCTTTGTCCTGAAAATCTTCTCCCCTGTCTTCTCTCATTATCTAGAGTTTTTTCAGATAGGTCCCCTGCTAACAATTGTATTGGACATCCTTTTTTTATTAAACCACATCAGTTCTAAGGAGAGCTCCATGTGTGCTCACCCAGCTTTAGCAAATCCACAGCTCCAACTGTGCCTCAAAAGGGCAGAAGATAATAATCAAAATACCACATGTAGCACTATCTGAAGTTTTCTATTTGTGCCTTAGCTTCTCAATACAGGAAACTACTAGAGTGAGATCAGTTAAGCTTCCATTTCCAAAATGAGGAACTGATATAATGTAAAATAAACCTTTTCAGTTTAAATAGATTCTTAGCACAACATGATTAACACTAACTGTGCACCATTCCCTTTTCTGTTTATTTTGGGTGTTGAATTGTCCACAGCACTTCAGGAGGTAAAAGGACTTGCACAATTTTTGCCCTTTGCTCCTCTAATAATTTATTTTTAAGCTTGCTGCTATGTTTATAGAGTCTGGCCTCAAGTTTTAGCCAATATAGAGCCAGTTATATTTAGCCAGTAAATTTAGTCAGTGTAGAGCTGCAAGTATATTTTTCTGTGTGGTCCATGCAAATAGGCCATGTTCCTACATGGTCTCAGTGACTGAATCATCAGTTGTATTAGCTAGATATAAAACAGATGCAAGCATTTGTAAGACTATTTAGGCTTCTTTTCCTGCCTTATTTTCCCTTTGTAAATCAGATAAAAGAAGAGCTGAAATATAACACTGAAAGGGCCATCGTCAATTAGTAACAAAAAGTCAGGAAAAAAGGATGAGTAACAATGAAGACGTGAATCAATGAAGACACAGGACATTTGTTCTACTCTAAATTTTGAATTAATTAAGTCTTACCTCACCCTGCTAAAACTGTCAGGCCAGGCCTCTCTTGGTCTGCTATCTGGTGCCCTGTAAACCAGTACAGCCTATTCCATGATCAGGTTGTCAGAAATTAAACTGGCACTCCCACTTGAGCTAGCCTGGGTCAGGATGGTGTATGGACACCCAACAGGACTAAGAACAAGACCTGTCAAAGGGTGGATGAACTCCCTGGAAGCTAACAGTACCTGGAGAGGACATGGATTGGATACCACCAGGTTACTTCACCCAAAGAATCCCCAAAACTAAACTCATAAGGAGGGTTGTTGCAGCAGCCTCAACACTAACATGACTTGACTCACCCTGCTAAATAATATATTTATATTATGGTTTGATGAGCTCTGAGAAGAATCAGTGTGCTCAGTGAAAAAGGCAAGCAAAGGGTTCTGATTCCCACTCCACAATTCAAATAGGCAGACTCTACTGTCTTCCTTTTGGCCGGGGTAAGACCAAGCTCCACATAGGACCGGAAAGGATAACATCATGCAAAGGCACACGGGGTGCATCTACACATGTGCTTTACTGTGGAGTTGACTAATTAACATCACAGTGAACTAATTAACTCTGCTGTAGGATAGTACTGTTTGGGATTGTACTTCTTACAGTGAAGTACTTTACTGTGCCAAAATATACATGTAAATGGTGAACAGGGCCAGCTGGGGGCTTGCTCCACCCCAGCTCAAATTGCTGCTGTCCCAGGTGCATGAGTAGACGCTCTGCCTGGAAGCAGTTGACTCAGTTGCAAACTGCTCCAGAGTTTATTGCATTGCCTTAATTTCACATGTAGCTCTACCCACTAGTACTAGTAGTTTATTAACAGCTTTTGTCAAAACATTACAATGAAAATCACAATCAGCAATAAAAATTATATATACACTTTAGCACTCAATTTCCAAATTATGGTTGCAGCAATTTCCAGACCATTCCATATATCATTGTCCACATCTATTCAAATGGATAATCCCCAATTATATTTGCAGTTCAAGGGATCCATCTTCTCCCCCCACATAAAAGACCAAACACTAAAGTGGGAACCATACCAATTATTCACATGCATGAGAAATATTAGGAAAGTTTTTCATATATTTTAGCTTCCTTGAATTAAACTTATCATCTGGAACCAAGGATGAACTCCATCACCATTTGCTCAAATGATAATCCTTGA